AATCTCTCGGGGCGTATGCTGATACAAATAAACACCCATTACCACATCGACTTGCATTCACCTCAGCTGAGCCAGACAATCGCACATCACAAAGACGACTATTTTCTATGACCCATTTCAGGTAGGCGCTTTCGACTTTGGGCATGAAGGCAACTCCCACACCGCAGATACCACCAATGATTTCTTTAGGATCACCGGATACCGAAGAGTAAAATATGCAACATCTGAGCTCGTTATAAGTGGTCCTAAATACATGGCCGAAAAAATAAAAAAATAAACCGTTCGGCTGTATCACCCTTTAGGCGCCTAAGTGCCATGCCAACCGAAGGTTGCACCAGGGCTGGGATACTGCCATGTTGCCCAAGTCTAGACAGAGGAAGCCGAGAGGCAGGAGTCGGGTTCGAACCACGGACCTTCCGGGCAATTAATTCGCGCCCTAACCATCTGGGCCATTCTGCCCCGCATGACCGAACTGAAGTCTTTTATGGGTTTTTCGAAGACAGAACGTACATCGACAGGTAGGGTAAGCAAGGTTTCAGCAAGGGATGCCCGCTGCCCCGTTCGACACAGAGTACACACACCAAAGGTTTAAACTGGGATCAGGTCTCTTGATGTCGGTATGTGATTATTTTGGTTTGTTTTTCTGGGCGACGGTTTAGACAGGGAACACTGGCTACGGGACTAGCAGGTGGGCTGATCGCACTACATCTTTCGATGGATGGGAAGTGGATGTAGAAGAGAGTCAGTGGGCGAATAGCTGCGAAGGGCGAATGGTAGTTCTCGGTTGTCCAAAGTGAAGAAGCGCATTTGGTTGAGGTACCCCACCTTGGGCCTCTAACTCAAAAGTCTGAACCACCAGACAACGGTTGTTGGGCTTTTCTTAGGGTACCCCTCCCAGAGCATATGACTGAATAGTCCGACTCACTTGGCTGTAAGGAACCAGCCTGGCTTGAGAGTGCACGGAATAAAGTATTACTGTCTCAGTCCAGATGCGGTTGTGCGCATCAGGTGCTTTTTGAGCAGCATCAAACTCTCGAGTTTGAAAAATATTTCAACCAAATAGAATAATGCGCCGCGGGTCACAGTTAACCGTTGGGCGATCGAAGTGTGCGGTTTCTCAGGCTGACCTCTTCTAACCCGTCCTTCCTCGAGGGAAGGCAGTATTGCTGCTTCCATGAATATGGACGTGCTGGTCGCCATATTGCCCTAACATTCCTATCACAGAGGACAGAATACCTAGAAAATACGATTGAAACGTCATATTGCCCTAACATTCCTGTCGCAGAGGACAGAATACCTAGAAAATACGATTGTTCGCAGCACGGTGACCCGCCTTTCTTAGTCAGTCTGCTTCCCGATGATTTTCCGGACATGGCTGAACCTTTAGGAACTGAATTCCAGCCAGCATCACAGAAGCGCGACCACTACGACAAGGTGACAGCTTTAGGTCTGGAAACCGTTCGACAAAATTACCCCTCCCATAAGTGTGAAGAGTCCTCACTTAAGGCTGTATTTTGAGGGTGGAAACTGCATTCAAAAACAGGGGACCACTTCTGACATCCTGTTTAGGATAGTTCATGCGGACGCGTTGTTGTCACGTAACAGAACAACGTCATATCCATGACTTAAATCTGCCAATCTTTCTCCACATTTGATTTTGGCAGTCCCTCGGACAGCACGCGGCAGCTACAACCACTGTACGACGAGTACGCGGTTCCTACAGCTGACAATGATGATGATGATGACGCACCATTACAGTGTCAAATTAACGAAAGCGGGGCGAGGGGACAACCTTGGTGAACCTCAGTAGCTGTGGGGAAACTCTGGATGGTTCGTTGGGGACTTTAATTTACCGACCTGAAGGTCCGTGGTTTGAACACAACCTCTGCGTCTCAACTGCCACTGTCTAGGCCTGGGAAACCTGGCAGCGTCCCAGTCCTCATGCTTCCTTCTGGTGGCATGACAGTTAGGCACTGAAAGGGCGCTATATCTGAACGATTTATTTATTAATTATTCTTTTTAATGTGACCAGGAATAAATGTAACGGAATGTAAAACTTCTTGGATGTTCTTGTCAAAAATTCCAGCTTCCTGAATATGCCCGGAACTTATTGGCTTCTCCAACTGCACCAAAATAACTATAGAAAGGATGTTGAGTTCTAACAACGGTAGTCTTCGGATTGACGTTCCAACCTATTTTGAGCATTTTCCTTAAATACCAGTCTCGGATCGTTAAAACTTTGGATAGGCCAAGTCTCACCGACGTATGTTAGTACGGATCAGACGGTCACTGCATATACACGGAGTTTTTCCGGGCCTGATTTCCGAGCGCTTCCGTACAGGTGTGCGAAGCTGCAATAAGGTCTTTTTAGCGTTGTCGATGCGAGTGTGCTTAACCATTTGAGAGGATTATCCAGCCTAAATACTTAAAGTAGTCGATTCGTTATATGAGGTTTCCATCACCACTAAGCGGGCAACGCTGGACATACATGTATGTGGCTTTTTGAAAAGCGTTCACTGATGGACTGCATTCCTGTCGGATCTTTACTCAGGACAAGGATACCTTCAGCGTAATCAAGCTCTATGATCCACTTGGTAAGACTTGTCAGCGCTCTAAAGAAGTCGTTAAGAGCGTGAGACGTTGAAGTGCATGCATGAACGTTTTCTGCCTCTCCGGACACTGGAGCTTAAAGCCAACTCCGTTGTCCCTTCTCCACATACTCGTATGCGGACTTTCATGTTTGAGTAGCGTCCCACGATGAGATTCAGCGGCTCGTCTGATGTACCATCAGCTTTCATGACAGAGGAAAGGTGTTTCCAATTGATTGAGTCAATTGCTGCATGGAGCGTAATCGGTGGTTGATGATTGCAACTTGTAGTGATGTTCCGCTATACGTCACAGCGCGAATATTTGGTCACGGCAAACTTCCCGCTCGGAGTCTTCTTGATTCGGTATGTCATGAGCGTTTCGCTTCTCTGAAGCGATAATTGTAGTATGACGGAAAATTCCACGTTATTTTACTCCAAACCCTTAATCAAGTTGTTCCAGCACTCACACAAGCCGCGAAAAATTCACTAGTAACACCCAAGAGTATTGATCAGTCGAAGCGCCTTGAATCACGGGCCCTATTACATGAACCGTAATGTTTAGGCACCCATACAATGTTATCTTTCACCTGATATTCAGCACTTCTCTGGTGTGTTCGTCAGAGGAGATCTTGCCTATTGGTTCTTCATTTGCCTTATGACTCGGCTGACCTGATAAATGGTCTGTCACATTTTTGTCAAAAGCTGTAAACCCATGGATTGCTTACCAATCCTCGGAAATGTTTATTTCTTAACAGGTTCCAAGGCTTTTCCAGTTGGCTGGAAACAAAATGACGGAGCCTGTGTTCTTGAATTGTCAAGTGAGACTACATTCGACTGGTGAGATCGGAGGCAAAGTGGGAGAACCACTGCATGTTCAGTAGGAGATGCTTGAAACCCATATCAATCTCTGCATCTCTGCTGGTTAAGCCATCGTGTTTCAAAACCTTATTCGTACGCATACACAAAATCAACTCTAATCGCCACTCGGTCTTTTCATTCCAGCATGAACTGCTTTGTTTCCCTTGAGCCGGAATTCCTCCTTGCCAACACGTGAATGCTGCACTTGTACTTGCCAGCTATCAATGAAAGCCTGGAAATTACGTAAGTTGCATGGTGTAATTTTCAGCAATTTTGTTTTGAGCCTTTTCTACGTAACTGAAGTTCTTGATTGTGTTCCATCCCAACGGAATTTCCGTTTCTGGGTACCTAAAATGGGGCATCTCACCCGGAAAAATTAGCTGAATCTTTTTGAATCTGCGGTCCAGCGTTCAGTTCTCCATGAATACCGCGTTCACTTCATTTTATCCGTTTGGAACTGTTCAATCCACTATTCAATCCAGCTCGATTATTTTTGTTGGCATGACTTTTTTGACGATTCCGAGAGGAGTGTTTGTGGAGTCAACAAATTGGCATAAGAGACAATCATAAACGAGAGATTGAGAGATTGGGCACGGACAACTGAACGATTGTTCAAAGGATGTTCAGGTAACAGACCAATCGCATCGCGCGGACGACATTCCGAAAAGGAGGAGTCAAGTACAATTGCATATTGTGAATGTGTGTGACATTGTTCGCTTGTTTTTCGGAGACATTTGCTTGCCTGCGTTCAGGTCAGTGTCTGGAGGGATTCGCATGAACCCTCAGCTGGCTTACGCGCTAAGACAGTTATTGCACGACATGTAATGTCCAATCATTTGACCTTGGAGCATACCGATGCAGTTAACAAGCCCTGTCTTCTATGTGACTGGAAAACCGCTTTTGCTGTGACACTATGTAGCATTGGCTGATAAACTGACCTTGTTAACCGCAGTTGTGACCTTCGAGCATAGCGCTTCAGTTGGCAAGCCCTGTCTTCTGTGTAACTAGAAAAGCGATTTTGCTGTGACACTCTGTAGCATTTGCTGATAAACTGACCTTGTTAACCGCAGTTTAGGGGTCACCGTCTGAATTAAGCCTCCAACTCATCGAGCCTTATCAGGGATTCCAACTCCGTTTTCCTCTGAGATGATGTCACTATGAATGTAAATACTCGCTTACGAACCGAGGTAATTTTGACGAGAGATGTAATTGAATCTTCCGTTTCTCCACCCGAACGTAAACACAGAAGCTCAGGCCGTTATTTAAGGTGTCACAGTATTTCCGCCGTTTGACGAAGTACTGGCTTCATTTAGTCTGTGGTACTCGTTTCGACTGCAAACTTTGACCCAGTTTCCCATCCGCTAAACAGGCAATAACACATTCGTTTTTCCATAGAATTCATTTTAATTCATTTTAATCAACAGACACTTTTACTTGTTTTATATGAAAGCTGAATTCCAGAATTCTGTATGGTTGTCTGAGGCCATTGATTGCCGGTTTCCCTTTCATCCTGGTCATCAGTGGTCTTATGTGCTTTTTTTTCTAAACGCAGAAGAATGTGTTGCTCATTCTCCGGGTGCTGTCACGTGTGTCAGTTTGGGCCGCAAGTCAGGCCGCGTCATGGCGACCGGAGGCGAAGACCGACCGTCGAAACTGTGGGCCGTGGGCAAGCCTGCGTGCATCCTCAGCCTAACTGGTCATACTTCATCGGTTGAAGCCACGGAATTTAGTCAAGAGGAAGATCGGGTTGCTGCTGGGTCACTTTCTGGCTCTATCCGAATATGGGACTTAGAGGAAGTAAAAAGTAATCACTTTCTGCAATCGTAATGCAACGCTTAAGCATTTTTACTTTTTCCTCAGCATTATCACTCCGCGTCTAAATAACTTACTCAATAATTATTTTGCGTTTACGCGCAGCCGAGTGAATCGAATCGATTCGTTCAGCTGTAGCACCCTTTCGGTGCCTAGCTGCCATGCCACCAGAGTGAAGCACGAGGGATACTGCCAGACTGCCCAAGCCTAGACAGGGGAAATCGAGAGGCAGAGGTCGGATTCCAACCGCGGACCTTCGAACTAAATTCGCGCTCCAGCCACTGACAATAGTATAAGCAGGTCCTTATGCTCTCATTTGCCCTCCATTCCACATTTCTGAAAAAATAATTTTGTAACAAGGACCAAACACAGTGCAGTGCCGGGAAAAGCAACTTGGCCTTTACGGTGAGGTACTGGTGATCAAATCCACAGAAGGTAACATTGCCATTGCTGGGGTAATCTAGTCTCGACATCTCACTCAAAGTGTACGCAAACTTAACTACTGAGTGTTGCTCAATTCGCGCCAGCCGCATCGCTACACCGAACTATTCTTTACCGACACTCAAGGTCAAAAGGTTGGCAGTAATTTCAAACCAGAACAGTGTAAATGTTCCCCCTTACACATGGTTAACACTTGACCTTACGTGTGCACTTCTCCCTTCCTCTCCCAATTACAGGTATCCCGGACGAGGCACCACGAGCGCCGGACAGGA